ACACCAGTCATTGTGAAGTAAAATCTATTTATGACTTCATTTTACATTTGTTACTTCTTTAAAGACCCTGTCTTCATACACCATCATGTTCTAAATGTTCTAAGGTTCAGGGCTTCACCATTTTTGGTGAGACAGAATTCAGTGCATAATAGCCCTCTGAGTGCTTGTCAAAGCCTCCCTGATCCAATATTCTATGAATTTCTGGTGCATGCATTGAATAATTCTTAAAACCTTCTAAATTGAAAAATAATGGAAGTAGAGGGATGAGTGATAAAAATCCAAAAGCTCTTAATTTGATGTGGCTTCTTTGTCCTCTGCTATCTTAGTATATGGAATTTTCCCATTTTTACTTTCCCTTCTTTTGAAGGGAACTCTTCAGTTATTCATGGTATTTTGTTTCCTTCTATTTTCTTGTCTTTCCTAATTCTGTTTTCTGTCTAAATGCTAATTCCATTTACCTTAGTCATTCTTCACCCTGTGGGTACAGATTGCTCCTCTTCAGGAGCTAATAATGTAAATGAGTAACTTGTGGTTCTCCTGCACTCCTCCTCCACCACCAGAATGAGCCTTCTTATGGGACATCTCTTTCGTGGGTGTGGTGGGTTTAGTGGATGTGGATGGAGGATGTGGCTCCAGTCCTCACACACAAGGGCGCCAGGAAGAATTACATTCTATATGTTCTGCTTACCTGGTTATTTCACTTTAAGCTTTTCACAAGCAGTATGTAGGCAAGATTTTTAGTTTTGATTCAATCAGATAATCTCTTTTTGTGTATTGATAGGTTTAGATTGAGTTGCTTGGTATATTCTTGGCTTTTCCCTTCATTTTAAAAGTCTGTTTTCTGTTTCATTGACACTACACTGTTTCATATTTATTTATCAGTTTTTAACTTTTTAACATTTTAGAAAATTTAGAGAATATTTCTGTTCTTATGATAACTACTCTTAAGTTATTTATATGACTAAATACACGTGTATGTCATCATATAAACACTATATATTTTTCTATGCCCTACATTATTACTTTTTTCTTCCCACAGTGTTATTCTAGTATTTTCTCCTGTACATTCTACTTTTTCCCCAGCTGATTTACTAGCTTTAGAATCATCTAAGTGACTGGTTGGTGGAAACTACACACTAGCTATATTTAGGATAGTACCTTCAGAGTTTTAAATAATGTGTTGGAAAGCTACAGTTCCAATACACAAATAAGAAAAGCAATAAACACAAAATCCATCCACACAATAATGAGAACATCAATCCATTCTCTTCCTCCTGTCAGCCATTGTCCCTGGGCTTCCCACTTTCTTGATGCTTTTCACCTGCTGGCCACATGTTCCTTCCTTTTAGTTCCTCCTTGTCTCTGTACCTAGAGTAAAATGGCCACATGTGGATAAAGAGGAATGCCTTGCACAGTTTACTGCCATGTTATGTTTCATAGCAAATAACCAACAACAGCCGGAGTGTTCGTCAACAGAGGAAGGACCATACAAACTAGACAAGCCAGGATGTGGTGCAAGGCAGCAGCTGAACCTATCTCTGCTAATGTGATAAGACCTACAGGATTTATTGTTGAGTTCATAAAACCAGTTACAGAAAGCAATGCACAGGATGTATCATATTGCATCAAGTAAAAAATTATTGATGAAATACGATGTATTGTCTGTTGTTTTACATATTTGTAGATGATGTAGATTTACAGTAAAACACCTGGGAGCTTCACCTGCAAATTGAAAGATGAAGGGAAAGTTGGGGTGATGAGTGATGAAAGGGCCAGGATTGTAGGAGAAGTCAGAGGGGACTGTGGTCCATATGTAGTGTTTTATGACTTTCAATAATTCCTGTATTCATGAATTTCTCTTATGTCAAAAATGATGAAAAATCATAAAAGCCATCATCAAGAGTTATTCATATTATTGTCTATCCTTCTCATAACAAGGCAGAGGAGGGAGGAGAAATCGTTCACCTTCTACAGAAGATTTTGTTCGAGTATCTCCTAAATAAGTGCTTCCCCTGTCTCTGGGATCAAGCATCTTCACTTCATCCTCCTCTCAGGGTCCTACACTTTGATTATATTACAAATATGTTTTTTTTGTCTTTTCCTGTAGAATTTAACTAGTGTTTCCCCCCTTTTAAATACACTTATTATTCACTACTAGTAAAATGTGAATGATGTTGATTTATTTTGAACTGAATTAGATAAATTGGATGAATATTCTAGGATAACTACTAACTTGTTTTAAAATGTAGTTTACAAGCTGGGGGTGATGGCACAGGCCTGTAATCCCAGAGGCTAAGCAGCCTGAGGCTGAAAGATTGCAAGCTCAAAGCCAGCCTCAGCAATTTAGTGAGATCCTGTCTCAAAATAAAAACTCAAAGTGGATCAAGTGGATCAAGGATGTAGGCATTAGACCAAAGACCCTGAAACTGACAGAAGAAAAAGTAAGCCCAAATGTACATCATGTTGGCTTGGGAACCAACTTCCAACCCAGACTCCTAAAACACAAGAAGTAAAATCAATAATCAAAAAATGGGACTGATGCAAAATCAAAAGCTTCTTCATAGCAAATGAAACAATCAAGAATGTGAACAGAGAGCCTACAGAATGGATGACATTCTTTGCCAAGAACTCAAAAAAAATTAACACCAAAAAACCCCACAAGTATTCCAATCAAAAAATGGGAAAAGGAACTGAACAGGCACTTCTCAGAAGAAGAAATATGATCGATCAGTAAATATTTGAAAAAATGTCAATATATTTATGAACAATTAGGGAAGTGCAATTAGAGAAGTGCAATTTAAAAACTACTCTGAGATTTAATCTCACTCCAGTCAGAATGGCAATTATCAAGACTACAAGTAATGATAAATGTTGGAGAAGATGTGGGGGAAAAGGTACACTCCTACATTGCTAGCGGGACTACAAATTGGTACAACCACTCTGGAAACAGTGTGGATATTTCTCAGAAAACTTGGAATGGGACCACCATTTGATCCAGCTATCCTACTCCTCAGTATATACTAAAAAGGACTTAAATCAGCATACTACAGTGATGCTGCCACATCAATGTTTATAGCAGCTCAATTCACAATAGCTCAACTGTGGAAGCAGTCTAGGTTTCCTTTGGCAGATGAATGAATAAGGAAAATGTATTTATACACAATGGACTATTACTCAGCCATAAAGAGAAATGAATTACGGCATTTGACAGTAAATAGACGGAACTGGAGGCTATCGTGCTAATTGACATAAACCAACCCGCCAAACCAAAAGCCAAATGTTCTCTCTGATATGCGAATGCTAATTCACAATAAGGGAGGTGGGTAGGAGAAAATAGAAATTCATTGGATTAGACAAAAGGGAATTAAGGGAAGGGAAGGGGAATGGGAATAGGAAAGATAATAGAATGAACTGAACTTTACTTTCCTATATTCATATATCAGTACACATCCAGTGTAATTACACATCATGTACAACCAGACAAATGGGAAGTTATACTCCATATATGTATAATATGTCAGAATACAATCTATGGCTATATATATCTAAAAAGAACAAAAATAAAACAAAGGAAAAAGAAAAAGAAAACAAAAGGGCTGGGGATGTGGCTAAGTGATTGAGCACCCATGGGTTCAATCCCCAGGTTCAAAAAAAAGTATTATGCAGAAAATTCCATAAAACTTGTTCTAAAAAATTTTTTTTAATTTTTTTAATTTTCATTTTTTTTTTAATTGAATGGGGTTTGAACCCAGGGGCTTGTGTCATTTGCTCTACCACTAAGCTATGACCACTCGTGAAAGTGGTTAATTTTTATTTCCACTGACTTTAGTCATTTTATTCTTTGGCCATCTTCATTTCCTGAACCAGGTACCATAGAGTGAGTGGGGCTGGGTTGAATGACAGCTGAGGACTAGGTTGGTCTTAAGTGACATACATTAATGGAATCAGTCCACCAGGGGGCACTCCAGGCCGCAGGAGGAATAACTTCTGTGGATTTCCAGAGGGTGAAAAATTAAGTGAGACCAGAGAATGGCAAGGGGGCATCCTGTGCTTGTGAAAGTTCATCTCAGGTCTTCAGCTTTGCTATTATCCATGAAATCTCAGAAAGCTGGAGACTTTACCTATATTTATTGTAACTCATATCTGTAAATTGATCGGAAGGATGTTTTTCTGAGCAGAGATTAAGAAATTGGAATTTTACTTGGCATATAAGGATGGAGATCCATTAGAAAACATCCCTAGTACCTGGTCTCGTTTTTTTGTTTTATTACAGAAATTCTCAAAATACACTGATGTAGAAATTATTCCAATACTCTTGAGAGCAAAACTTTTAATATATCTTCTTTGAGACTAGAAGGAACAAAAAATAGGCAAGAAGAAAAGATGAAAAATGAAGACCAAAGGCAGAAGAAGAAAGGGACAGGCAATAATGACATGGGCAGCAATGTGTGGCCTGCAGGGTGTGAGGGAAGGGGCTGGATAGCAGAAGGGGAGAAATAGAGAATAAAACATAATGGACATCATAGGCATAACCTCTTTTCCTTTAGACCAGTGAAACTCTTGTTGGAAACATTTTCAATGTAGATGAAGATCCTCATTTCATGAAATGTTTTTTATTTCTTAATGCTCATTGCATGCTATCAAATATTCTTTGACAAAAATTTTCATATAATTGATTTCTCAAATTCCCTGTTAACCACAGAATGTAAGGAAATGGGCTTACTCTTCCTGTGAGTTGAGACTTAGGTTATTCCCTAAAGTGTTGCTGCCCTTCTTCATATGTTTTCCCACAAATTTCTCTTCTATCAGCTACTGAAGAAAAAAATGATCTTCATTCCTTGGATACATGGCCCCCTACCCCCTGCATTGTCCTCACACAATTCTGGAGCAATCACAGCAGTCTTCCTGGGCCACTGGGGGTGGAGCTCCCTGTTAGGGGCAGGACAGAGCTCAGATGTGACTGGTGCTCAGGGAGTCAGGTGGAAACTGTTGCCTGGAAGAACAAGCTTGTCTGGCCCAAGAACTGACACCTGCAGAGCAGGGAGAAGAGCCCAGCAGCCAGGCCAGCAGCCATGCAGAGGGGACTGGGGGCTCTGCTGGGGCTTCTGTGGGTGCAGCTTTGCTGTGAGTCGGGTTCCTCCCAGATGGGGCTGGGGGTGTTGTAGGGCTGACAGTGAGAGGGAGGGCAGGGAGAGCTGGCACCAAGCCCCCTCCCTGTCCTCCATCCTCAGGGTGTTTCCTGGGATATTCTACAGGTTTGTGAAGTGGTCATGGATTCCTCAGTGACACCAACTGAGTTTGCTTTTCTCTTTCCAAGCAGGGGTGAGAGGGCAGCATGTGGAGCAGAGTCCTTCAGCCCTGATACTCCAGGAGGGAGCCAGATCCACTCTGAGGTGCAATTTTTCCACCACCATGCAAACTGTGCAATGGTTTCAACAGAATCCTGGAGGCAGCCTCATCAGTCTGTTTTTCCTGACTTCAGGGACAAAGCAGGAGGGAAGGTTAAAGGGAGTACTGAATTTTCAGGAGCGCTACAGCACCCTGCACATCTCGAACTCCCAGCTGGAAGACTCAGGCACCTACCTCTGTGCAGCAGGGCACAGTGCTCCTAGGAGACCTGCAGCCTGTCTGCAAACTTCAGCTGCACCTGCAGCCACCACCTGTACCTAATGGAGGACTTACACAGCATCCTCTGCTGTGGGTGTCCTAATTCATGTCATACTACTGTCACCTATTGTAATGCGAGAATTCTCAGTACTGTCATTCTATTTGAGTGGGACTCTTCTACACTGAAACCCTTTGCAGGAAAAATTTCTAATAAAAAAGCACTGGAGCAACTGATAAGGATGTCAGGGACCGAAATACTATTAAAACAGGTCTCTCTTTCCCCTACATCCTCGCCAGTACTTATTGTTGCTTGAATTCTTGATAATTGTCATTCTGACTGGAGTGAAATGAAATCTTAGAGAAGTTTTAATTTGCATTTCTCTAATTGCTAGAAATATTGAACATTTTTTTCATATCTTTGTTGATCAATTGTATTTATTCTTCTGTGAAGTGTCTGCTCATTTCCTTAGCCCATTTATTGATTAGGTTATTATTATTATTATTATTTTGGTGTTAAATTTTTTCAATTCTTTATATATCCTGGAGATTAGTGCTCTATCTGATGTTCATGTGGTAAAGATATTCTCTCAGCCTGTTGGCTCTCTCTTTACGTTGTTTGTTTCCTTTGCTGTGAAGAGCTTTTTAGTTTGAACCTCATCCATTTATTGATTCTTGATTGTATTTCTTGCAAATTAGGTATCTTGTTAAGGAAGTCAGGTCCTAAGCTGACAAGATGAAGATTTGAGCCTGCTTTTTGTCCTATTATGTTCGAAGTCTTTGTCTAATTCCTAGGTCCTGATATATTTTGAGTTCAGTTTTGTGCAGGGTGAGAGATAGAAGTTTAATTTCATTTTTGCTGGATATGGATTTCCAGTTTTCCCAGCACCATTTGTTGAAGAGGCTGTCTTTTCCCCTGGTGAGATTGCAAAATGGTGCAATCACTTTGGAAAGCAATATGGAGATTCCTTAGACTACTTGGGATAGAACCATCATTTGACCCAGCTATCCCTTGGTTTGTACCTAAAGGAGTTAAAATCAGCATACTACAGTGAAGCATTCACCTTGATTTTCATAGAAGCTCAATTCTGAATAGCTAAACTATGGAACCAGCCTAGATGCCCTTCAATCCATGAATAGATAAGAAACTCTGGAGTTGGACACAGAGGTGCATGCCTGTAATCCCACAGACTGGGGAGTCTGAGGCAGGAGGATTGTGAGTTCAAAGCCAGCCTCAGCAAAAGTGAGGTGCTAAGCAACTCAGTGAGATCCTGTCTCTAAATACAAAATACAGCTGGGGACATGGCTCAGTGGTTGAGTGCCCCTGAGTTCAATATCCAGTATCAAAAAAAAAAAAATAGAAAGAAAGAAAGAAAGAAAGAAAGAAAGAAAGAAGAAAAGAAATATCCATGGTGGCTATTACTCAGCCTTAAAGAATAACATTGTGGCATTTACAGGTAAATGGATGGAGGTGGAAAATATCATGCTATGTGAAGTAAGCCAATCACAATAAACCAAAGGCCAAATATTATCTCTGATAAGTGGATGCTTATCCATAATGGGGGATGGAGGAAGGAAAGAATGGAGGAACTTTGAATCAGGCAGAGGGTAGGGAGGGGGAGGGGAACAGGTGTGTGGAGGGAAAGATAAATGAGATGGACATTATTATCCTATATATGGGTATGATTGCTTGAATGGAGTGACTCTACATGATGTATAACCAGAGAAATTAAAAGCTGTGCTCCATTTGTGTAAAAAAAAAGCAATAATAGCAATAATAACAATAAAAACAGATTCCCTGGCTGAGCTTGTAAATAACATCTCAGTTATTGTGATTGAAAATGCTTGAAAAAGTATACGAGTATCAAGAAAAGAAAGAGATGTCCCAGTGTTCCAGCAGATTGTTCAATTTCCAACAAAAAGGAAAATATGATGTGACTTTAGGAATCTTGTACATATGTAATGTTTATATTCAGATTTTTTCACTCCCATAACCTCTGAAAAATGTAAAGAAAAGTTCCTTTTTATTTTTGAGTGTGGGAGTATAGTGGAAAAATGATTTTTTTGGGTCAGATGGTTACAATCCACTGAATTTTGGGTGGGATTCCCACTCAGAAAATCTGATTAGAGTTTTTGCTCTGAGCTAAACAGGGCAGAAGAGTCCTGAATGCAAAGATGACTATGGATAGAGTTCTACAATGTGTTCTCATACAACAGTGATGAAAATATCCATTTAATCATTTCCATATAGCACCGTTTAAAGAAATGCTCATTAATGTTTAATTGTGTTATAAGAAAATCCAGTGCACTTCCTTGCAGTTTGAATGAACCTATTACTCATGATTTTCTAACAGTATTTAGGGTCTGGGAAAGGGAGTACAAATCTTTCCAGCTTTACCCCCAAAGAAGTCTTTATTTTCTGTAGCCACCTACCCAACATTCTCACAAACAAACCCAAAGTTTAACCCTGCATGTGGACTAATTGCAATGTAAATAAATTTTCAGCATTGCAAGCTCCTCGTGTAAATGTAAGGGATTGTCTAGGAAGGAGTGAGTCCATATCCCCCCTGGACAATTCCAGTGAAGCTTGGAGCAGGATCAGCTTCCTGGGAATGTGACCCGTATAGTTCTCAGGGCCTGGCACTCAGGAAGGGTCTGGAGCTTGACATAATAGTGAGTTGTTGCTATATTGAAATCCTTAATAATTTTGTGTTTGAACTTATGTATTGTAAGTGAATCTGATAAGAGGATGGAGCATGTGCATGAGCAGAGGAGACACTTGGGACTTTAGGAAAAGGACACAAGTGACCTGAGATTGAAGGGCACAGTGGGCAGCCTATGAGCTGAGCAGTTGGTCTAGCCCATTCCAAGAGCAGGTGCACGCAGGGATTTCTAATGTCTGTGGGTGGGTGGCAATCAGTGTTGCTTGTAAATTTTTACAAAATAAATAAATATGTGTGGACATTGCAATAAAGCATTTTGGAGTGATTAGAATCCTTTGAAAAGTTTATAAAGTCTGGTTTTGAAAATTGATGCCATAGAGCAGAGTGATTAAGCACAGATGTAGAATCAGGAATGCCTGTTATTATTATTATTACTTCATAGAATATTAACATATATTAACATGACAAGTTTTAAATCTGCATAACAGCAAGGACAATATTATTACTAAGTGTTGAATTAAAGCTAAAAACATTAGATTAAAGCATATCAAGTGGTCACTGTTATTGAAAAATTCTCATATAATGAAAGTTTCATATGTTTAATCACATAACTCTGTCAAGAATATATTAGGAACATACCAGAATTAGAAATAAATAGTAGATATTTTCCCCAAACAGAAGAAAATTAAACAACACAGTTCTAAATAACTCATGAACCAGTCTAGAAATCACACAGGAAATTAGAAAATTGCATTCACTGAATGAGAATAAAAACAGAACACCAAAATTTGTGAAATGCATCTAAATAGTAATTGGACAGAGGTTATAGTTTTACAGCTTCTATTAGAAAATGAGAATGATTTACATATTGCCATACTAGTGTCTGTTGTATTCTGCTGTGTAAATCAATGGATGTGTAACTTATATGATTCTGCAATCTGTATACGGGGTAAAAATGGGAATTCATAACCCACTTGAATCAAAGTGTGAAATATGATATATCAAGAACTATGTAATGTTTTGAACAACCAACAATAAAAATTTTTAAAAAAGAATATATTAGGTAAAACTAAGAACTTTCTGTGGAAAGGTCTGTGAGGAAACAAAGAGAAAAGTAATTGATGGAGTGGTAGCATTGAGAAATAACTTTTCAGTCTTCATTCCTATTCATAATGTTGTAATATTATTTATATTGTGCAATTTAAAATAATTTTTGTGGTATCTATTTTTAAAATTCTCTCCATTTTCATTAGTGCACTATAATTATATATTAATGGTGGATTTATTGCTACATATGTATTCATACACACAATATAACAATATAATTTGGCCATTATCATTCCATGATTGCTGAGAGCCACGGCCGAGTCTGTATGGCCCCTGGCATTTTGCCAACAGTATTGATTGACAGGCGAGGCATTACTATCCGCCTCTGACGCAACTTTTGAGTTCTTGCACTATTTTGGAGTACTCGTGGGGATTTCCGGGGATTCCCTGAGAGTTCCCATTGGTTGGGGAAGTGCAGGAGGAGGGATTTCCAGGAGAGATATTTCCGCTGGGGGTTCCTGGATGAGCCGTGGCATTCGAGAGAATTCCCCAGGAGCATGTGTGAGGTTTTTTTCTTGCAGTTCAAAAATAAAGTTTGTTCCTGCTTCAGTGGCTCGTGATTTGTGCCCAGCCAGACTGCGGCACATGATATTTTCCCTTTCCCTCTCTTCCTCCCTCCCTCTGGTCCCTTTCTTCTACTGATGACTCTTTGATTTTCATGAGATCTCCACCCCAAACTTTCTTTTACTTTTTGTCTGTAGCTTCCACATGTGAGAGAAAACATATGACCCTTCACTTTCTGAATTTGGCTTATTTCACCTAACCTAATGTTCTCAACTTCCATAAATTTTCCTGTAAATGACATAATTTCAGTCTCCTTTATGACTTTATAAAAACTTTAGTGTGTATATATGCCATGCTTTCTTTATCTACTCATCCACTGATAATCACCTAGGTGGCTCCATAGTTTGTCTATTGTGAATTGTGCTGCTATAAACATGGGTATGCATGTATTGCTATAGGGGGATGTCTTTAATTCTTTAGAATAAATGCCCAGGTGTGGTAAAGCTGGGTCATATTTTGGATTCATCCTTGGTCTTTTGGGAGACCTCCATATTGGTTTCTAAGGTGGCTGGTTGTACTAATTTGTATTCCCACCAACAGTGTCAAAGTCTTCCTTTTTCTCTACATGCTCTCCAACATTTATTATTTTTTGTATTCTTGAGAGTAGCCACTCTAACTGGGGTGAGATGAATTCTCAGTGTAGTTTTGACTTGAATTTTTCTGATAGCTCGGGA